TTTAGTAACCTGTTATAAATTGTAATAATGTCTTTATTAATCATTAATAAATCATGTATTGAAGCTTAATAGAATACTTATAAGCCATTAATTAGTGGCTTATACAGTTCTACAGTTCTTAATGACATTGGCTGTATGTTTGGGGTCGTTGTCCTGCTGCAGAATACGCCTCCATGATGGTATTGCATGATGGATAACTATCTGCCTGTATTTCTCAGCATTGAGGACACCATTAATCCTGACCAAATCTCCAACTCCATTTGCAGAAATGCAGCCCCAAACCTGCAAGGTACCTCCGCCATGCTTTACTGTTGCCTGCAGACACTCATTATTAAACTGCTGTGATCAGCCTGTCAATCACTGCGGTCTGTGTTGAGGCCACACCCTTGCAGGTCTTTGATGCATTTTTTTACATTTTCTGAGAGGGAGAGAGCTATCAGAATAGTAACATTTAAAGTATGACTATTTGTGAGTGTTAGTGACGTGGCTGTTACATTTATACAAGTACTGGTCTACCAGCACACACGCATGATGTAGTATGCACACGTAAACATAGAATGGAACTGAATATATTTGACCGTAGATCCAACCTATTGTCACCAATTTATCACAATATCTCATCCAGCTATTCCAGTCAGTATCGGACCAATATCCAATATTCATATATAATCAGTATCAGATTGCTGCATATTTGCATGATGTCTGCAGCTGAAAAAATAATGGGAATTCAGCTTTGCTTTTTCCTCTGCTACCTTAAAGACCAGCTCATCAGTCACAGCAAAGGTCCTGTCCAGTTTTCCTGTTAGGTTGTTGATCTCTTTCTGGAGCTCCTTAGTGTCTAACAATATCTGAAAGCAAAGTGAGCACAGTGTTGATGAGCGGATACACAGCACACACTGATTGCAGTAACTTCACTGAAATGAATTAGTTTCTCTTCAAAATGCTGCCATTTTAAATGCTACCATGACTGGGCCATTACACTGCTGTACAGAGCACAGAAATCAAAGTTGTCAGAATATATTATGAGGCCTGACAGAAGGCCACCTGTCTACAAACTGGGTCTATTCAAACTAGCTGCGTTTGCTTGCTTGCTTTACATATTAGTTATGCCCAGAGAAATTCAGCTTCTTGTCATTTGTTTTTAGATGTACCTTTGTAATTTCTTCCTTTTGTTTCTTGATGTTGCTGACAATCTCTAGAATCCTCTGAGTGTATGCTGACCGTGACACATCCTGGGGAAGATTCTCTAACTCTGTTACCTATGTTGGAAGAGAACAGGCACAATACAAACAATGAAACACACATTAAGTACAACCAGCAAGGTGCTAACAGAAAACTAACCTACCTAACTACCTAACTCAATTGTGACAGAATTTAAAAAAAATACTGTGACAATTGCAAAAGTAACCTATGAGTACACATGCGCTAATAAAGGTAATCTAAAACTTATTTACTAGCTTTCAAACGAAATGTAGAATTTTAGTCCATTACCAGTTGTTTGTATATTTCTTCCTTCTTCTTGGCCTCATCTGTAGACACACGGATTCTGTCATGCAAAGACTTGATTTCAGACAGCTTTCTGGATGACTCCAGCTAAGGAAAATGGAGACAAATGAGCACAATCGAATTGAGTTTCTACTGCAACAAATGAAGTGACCAATGTGTTGTTAGGCACTACTTACATCTTGGTTGCTGCAGATTTCTTTGAGTCTTCGGTGCTCGTCGATGAGTGGAGCACGGTGTTTTTCCCACTGAGAGGCCAGGTTCACCACCCGCTTGGCACTGGCCTCCACCAGAGCCTGGAGCAAGAGACACACGTTTCTACTATGTATGAGTTTCCTGCTGGGTTTGATGACAGACACCTCAATCAGCCCTCTTACCTGAAGCTTTAGCAGGTTGTTGTCTGCATCTGGCAAAAGGTCGATTGTTTTCTTTTTCACCTGCATCTTCTCCTCTTTTTCAGAGTTTCTCTGCTCTCTATGCTTCAGCTCATCCAAAACCTACACCAAAACACAATGCACATGTGAAACAATAATTATGCATTTTGTACCTACTGTTATGGAAGCTCACATCTACTCCACATTATTCCAAATACATCAGTGTAAACTCACTGGTACCTCCTCATCTACAGGCAGGTCTGACATTGTGGCTCCCTCCTCAGACAGAATCGAGACACTGTAGATAACGATATCCTCTATTTGAGTAATGACTTCCCTCTATCTACCTCACAGTTTAAAAATGTTTGATCATGAATACTTTATTACTTCAAGTATCTTTAATGAAAGGAAGGGTAGGACTCAAAAGACAAAAGAGAAGTGTCAATTCACTCAACTCACTCAATAATGGTTGAGCACCATTAAGTAGGAAAAATTATAATAATAGTGAGAAGATCCATCCAGAAGGGATTTCTCACTGGATTCTCAACAGCAAACTGTGTTTACTGGGTGGTGGGCACTAGTACGAGACCTTCATCAGACCTTTTTTGATGAAGGTGTAGTTCTGAAATGTCGCAAACAAATATTGCAAGTTAGACAGCATTTATTTTTTGCAGCTTTTGATCTACCTATCCCACTCCTAATGAAATACATGTGCAGGATTATTTCGTCTAATCTCCTAATCTAAAAAACACAACCCAGAAAAACGTAATAAAACAAACAAGATGGTCCTTGTTGGTCCTGCTTTTTTTGTTAACAGGTTTGTGTTTGAGTGCATGTGTAGATTCACAGTTGGAAACCAAAATATTTTGATTAAAGATTTATATAAAACTGACATTATCATCATGTCAGTCTTCCTCAATTCCAAACACAAAATATTTGCTGGTTTAGAAGAGCAAGTGAACAGCTGGACCGTTTACAATAAGTAAATCATGTCTAGGTTACATCATTAGTCCATCAGGATAAGCTGAGGTGTGTGTGTGTGTGTTACCTGTGTATTAGTGACACTCATGTGCTTCATGTCTGCAGCTAGCTGGTCAACATCACTGCAGAGCTGCTGCAATTGCTGCTGGAGTGAAGTCAGTTCCTCCTGCTGATGGAGCTGGATATCAGTTTCTGACTGATGCCCAGTGGGGATGGAGCTGGTTACTGCAGCCGCCTCCTGGAGGACACACAAGTGCATTAAACTCCTAAACATCCTCTATTTTAGGTTCTGTCCATAGAGTGCTCCTCACCTGAGTGAAGGAAAACTTCTGGGTGTGGGTGAAGTGGGTGCCCTTGGTCAGGATGTGGTCAGAGGGGGCAGAGCCTCTGAAGTTCTGCAGTAGCTCAGACAAGTCAGAGGTGGAGCATGGACCACCCAAGGCACTTTCAGGAAAGGGCAGTGCAGCAGAACGCAGCTGCTCCTCGATGCGTTTACGCAGCCGGTTCAGTTTCCTGGAGCGATACTCCTGTTCATCAACAGATAAACTCATTTGTTATTGCAGCCTTTCCTGAAAAGGCATAGGGCATCCAACACTAACCTTTTATGTACACTACAGTTCATAAGTTTGGAATCACCTTCACCTGTCATATTAATGTTTTTCTTCTTTCCTTCAATAATGGCTTTTTTAACAGAGATAAAAACTGTACTCTGTTTACATTTGAAATAATTATTAATTCCTGATAATGGCCACCTCCTCTGGCATTATTCCTTACATATAGTATACATGCTTATGTATATATGGGTAGATAGATTGCACTAGCTTCTAATTTCTACATCAGTTGCTGGAGCTGAGGTAGAGCAGCTGAACAATTTTACGTTCCTGGGAATCAACATCACAGAGAACCTATCATGGTCTTCTCACATCTCCACCCTAGTCACAAATTGGCATGGGATGTGCCCGGCCCAGTGAATTAAATGTTAAAACTCTCTATTGGTTGCTTATTTCTTATACAACTAGGGATGTCACAAGAGCCAATACTTTCATACCAAAATTTTGAAAACTTGACGGTACT